AGTACATCTATGGATTCTTCAACGGACTAAGTATACTGCCTTTTTTCTCTTAATGAATATCCATTTTTTGAAGAGGAGCTTTGATTGAACCATTGCGACGGATCCAAACGAACTTTTTTCCTGCAAAGGATATAAGACATTGTGTGTAACCAGCACGTCATCACCTGTTTGAATCCTAGCCAAAACCGAGATGCAAGCCTGGAAGAAGGGAAAGCTTAGAATATAAAGTTCTTTTTGGCTACCTATTCTTTCATCTCAATGACTTCAGAAAAGAGCCAGGTTAAGTCAGGTTTGAAAAAACAAGCATGCTACCTTTTAGGGCGAAACAATTTGAATACATTTGCGGAAAAAAACGAACTCCTTAGACGAGTGAACATATGAGCATATTTGTTCTTTTATTGCCATATTTTGAACTCGCCTGCGAATGTAGGATTGTTATCTTTTTATAAGCATCTAAGAATTCTGCGATTGAGTTCACCTCATGTGTATACATTTTCCACTAGTAACTTTCTTATTGATGAGCTGTTTACATTTACAATGCTTTCTAACATTTTAGGAATTGCGACACATTTATCTACTTTGGCCTTTCTCTCTACAGTACTCATTTTGCTGGCAACATCTATTTGAACTATTTCCTCATCGGATTAGTGGAACTTCCTGCTTATGTTCTTTCTCCGATCGCAATGAACAGGTATCTCGTTGGATTTACGAAAGTATGCTCAAAATGTCGTCTTTCAGGTACGGAAGAAGAATTGTAATCGCGCTTTCACATATAGGGGCTGCAGCAATTTTTTTCATACTTATTTTCACTCCAGGTAATTGGCCATTCGTGTACGCATTTAAAAAAGATGCAGAAACACACTTCTGTCGTTAGGAACTTGTTGATTTAGAGATTGTTTGGATGCGTACAACATTATGGGTTTTGGGGAAGTTCGCTATATCGTGCTCGTTTATGAGCATATATGTGTACGCCAGCGAGATTTTCCCAACCAATATTAGGAACTTGTCTATTGGATTTTGTGAGATGATGTCAAGAGTTGGGGGCATTCTCGCCCCATATGTCACTGCACTAGTAAGTATAGTCAAGTTCAATTTGTTTCAAATATATTAGGTTGGTCAAAAAGTAATTTCGGTCGCACGTTTTTCACAAGTTCTTTTGGAGTTTTGTGAGCAGGTATGGAATTAATTAAAAATTCACTTCGCGGTGAAGTATGCTGTAGTCTCATCTCAATGCGTATCCATTTTAGAAATTTTATAAACTTTAGAAGATGCGTGACCAAAAAATTTGAGTTTCGCTTTTGCATGGTATACGATTTCGAACATGGAAAAAGGAGCAGAATCGCATTGAACTTTGTACGGTGCTTTTGGGGAGAGATCGTAAGTGCGGCAGGACCAGAACTGGTTTAAACGTTTTCGAAATGAAGACGAGACGTCAGAAGACGTCTCGTGTGATGGC